CCTCCCGAGCAGCTGGGATTACAGGTGCCTGCCACAACGCCTGGCTATTTTTTGGTCGCAGTTGTCATTGTTGTTTAGCTGACCCAGGCCGAGTTCGAACCTGCCAGCTTTGGTATATGAGGCCGGCACTCTACCCACTATGATACGGGCACTGCCCACCTTACTCTTATATTCAGATTACATGAGACTGCATGGGAAGTAGACACTTACAGGCTGGGCAGGTGGCATCTGCCCAGGCATAAGCTGCTGTGGGGGCATGGCCCCTGGTGGGATCTGGCCAGGTGCAAGGCCTGGCGGCGGGATCATGCCAGGGGGCGGCATGTAGGGTGGCTGGCCTGGCATGTGGTGCATGATGCGAGGTGCCTGTGTCATTGGAGGCATGCCCTGTGGAGAGAGGGAGAGCAGGGCTAACTTGCTGGCAGGTGGGAGAGGGCATGGTTATAGTGTCCATGGGAGGCAGAGGAGAAAATGCCATCACAGGGGACCCAAGGGATGAGAAACACAAAGACTGACTGACTCAGAGGTTAAAAAGGTACCCAGAGAAAGCCAGATAAAATGAAACAGATCCAGAGTCAAAGGGGCATTAAGTCAGAAAGAAAAAAAAATAAAATTAAAGTATGACCCAAATTTGCTTATAGATACATGAACAACAACAACAATGAAGACTTGGGGGCGGGGAACCAAAATGTCAACAACTGTTAATTTGAAGGGGTGGAAATATATGCTCTAATGAGCATGCTATACTTTTCCTTCTGAAAATAAACTTTAAGTAAAAAAACAAAAACCAAAAAAAGAGACTCACTGACCTAGGGAGAAAAAAAGACTAGAGGACAGAGATGGAAAGGGATGGTCATGGCAGGTGCAAGAAACGGGTGGCAGCAACATAAAGAAGGAAAACAGCCCAATGGCACACAGCACAGCAGGGGCTGAGATCACAATCCAAAGAGTCAACAGTGGATAGAAAGTTAGGCACAGGAGAGGAGTGGTAACAAGGGGAAACCAGACAGAAGCCCAGGACACCAGCACTGACTCCAGAAAGTGGAATGGCCTGAGTGGCACCAAATGCAGCGTGACCCAGGGAGCCATAAGACTCAGGAGAGCCAGAGAGATAAGGAGGCTCGGGGAGCATGGGTCCAGTCCATCCTTCTCTCCTTTTGTACCTAGCACTTTCTGTATCCTGTTTGGAAAACAGGATGTTTCTACATTTTTCTCTCATCAAGGTCATGAAGACTGTTTCCTGTTTTGTTTTATTTTCTCCTTGACCCTTTACTGTGTTAAGGTGTCACATTCAAGTTGGTGATTTACCTCAATTTAATTTTTGTTTATAGTATGAGGCAGGACTAATTCTTCCCTTACAGGCATCCAGCTGCCCAGCATCACAAACTAGGGGAAAAAGTCCTTTCTCCATTGAACTTTAGGAACTTTGTGCCTTCATCGCACAAAGTAACCATTATATGCAGCTGTTTCTAGCTTCTTTTTTTTTTGAGACAGAGTCTCAAGCTGTCCCCCTGGGTAGAGTGCCATGGCATCACAGCTCATAGCAACCTCCAACTCCTGGGCTCAAACGAGTCTCCTGCCTCTGCCTCCCAAGTAGCTAGGACCACAGGCGCCCACCACAACGCCTGGCCATCTTTTGCTTGCAGTCGTCATTGTTGTTTGGCGGGTCTGGGCTGGATTCAAACCCGCCACCTTAGGTGCATGTGGCTGGCACCTTAGCCACTTGAGCCACAGGCGCCAAGCCTGTTTCTAGCTTCTTTATCCCATCTCCTGGGTCCATCTTCTCACCCTTCCCAATAGCATATCACCCCTATCAGTGGAGCTTTACACCTCCACTCCCAATTGCACAGGTCCCCCAATTTTATTTCTCTTGTCTGCCTTCACCTTGCTATTCCCACAGATGTTTAGAAACAAAACAGCCAATTAGTAGCTACCAAAATTCCCACTGGATCTTGGAATAATCTGGAGATAACTGATCTCTTAATAATACTGAGTCTTCCCCATCCATTGCTGAGGGCTCCAATTTTTCCCAGCAATGTTCTGCAAGCTCAGTGGAGCAGCTGTATATACCTTTTGGATTTATTCCTCAGTGCTACTATTCAATGTGAAGTCTACTTGTTTTTTTTTCCATATTGACCTTACATCCAATGCTTTTTCTAAACTAAGTTTATTTACTAATCCTAAAAGTTGGTTAGTAGATTCTTGCAGGTTTTCTACATAGCCACTAACTTAAAAGACACAAATGAAAAAAAAAGAGATAGAGAAACCAGGAGACAAACATGGAAACAGAAAGCCCTGAAGAAACAGGCAAACAGGAATAGGTATTTCAAGGGGAGATAGCATCATACAGATATTCAATCCACCCAAAAGACAATAAGACAGGTAGGAAATGGGAGAGTCTGAATCTCCAAGCCCCCAAACCAAGCCACACGGCTGAGGAAGGCCTGGTAGCAAGAAGTAGGGTCTCTGGGCCCTGGCTTACCGGGACAGGCCCTTGGACAGCCCCCACCACAGGAGCAGCTGCCCCACCCTGCACAGCCTTCTTGGCAGATGGGGTCTCCTGGCTCTTGGGCTTCCTCTTCTCTCGCTTGCGGTCCCGTTCCACAAAGGTACCCTTCATCTTGGCAATGATATCTGAGTCAGTCTTGGCATACTGGATGCGCTGCCAAGCAGAGAGCAGAAGCATTAAGAGAGTGAAGTTCAGACCCAAACTGCCTGGGTTCAAAACCAGACCTTACCAGTTCACTGAAAAACACAGAAATTACTCGTTCTCAACTTCTTCATCTATAAAATGCAGATTATGGTGTTTCCCACTTCAAAGGACTACTGTGTGGACTCAATGAATTAAAATGCTTGGAACAGTACCTGACACATAGTAAGCATTCAGGAGACAGGCTATTGGTATTTTTTTTTCCCCTTGAGACAGGGTTTTGCTGTGTTGTGGTACTGGTGTGCAATGGTGCAAACATAGCTCTCTGTACCCTTAAATTCCTGGGTTCAAGCAATCCTCCTGTCTCACCCTCCTGAGTAGTTGAGACTCTAGGCACAGGCCACCATGTTTGGCTGATTTTTTTAATAGAGATAGGGTCTTGCTATGTTGCCCAGGCTGGTCTTCAACGCCCGGCCTCAAGCGATCCTCTCACCTTGGTTCCCCCAAAGGAATAGGGTTATAGGTGTGAACCACCATGGCCTGGCCAGCTGTTAACATTTTTGAAGGAGTTTGGGAGAGCCCTAAAGAACAGGTCTAAGGTTTAAGGAAACAATGCTAAGACAGGAGCACCGTGCACAGGGATCTAATCTTCTAGGCTAAATTTCACCCAGCCATTTATGGAGAACCTACTAGATGCCAGGCCTCATTCTAAGGTCTGGGAATACAGCAATGAGCAAAACAGAAAAAAGTCCCTGCCCTAGTGGAGCTTATGTAGTGGGGGAAGGTATGTTAAAAAAGACTTAAAAATGAGTTGAAGGGCGGTGCCTATGGCTCAAAGGAGTAGGACGCCAACCCCATATACTGGAAGTGGCGGGTTCAAACCGGGCCCTGGCCAAAAAAAACTGGAAAAAAAAAAAAAGAATTGAGAAGGGGGTGTGAAATGTTAAGAAGTGAATATTTCAGACAAAGTGGCTACGAAAGTCTTCACTGAAGTGACATTTGTACAAAGAGGGAGGAACCAGGCCATAGGGACATCTGGTCAAAGAGCCTTCTAACAAAGGGAATGCCCATATGAAGAGCCAAGGCCTCTGCACAGCACATTCACAAAACACCAAAGAAGTGAATACGGATAAGAAGGAAGTCACAGAGACAACAGGTGATTCTGCTGAAGACTTTGTCTATTCCCAAGGGAGCCCTGGAGTGTGGTGAACAGGGGAGTGAGGTACTCTCACTCATGTCTCCCAAGGAGCACTGCGGCTGCCGTATGGAAGCAATGTCAAGGGTGGTGGCTAGACCAGGGAGAAGCAAGCAGCTGGTAGATATGTTTTGAAAGTAGGGTTGACAGGACTTTCTGACAAAATTCTGACATATCTGAGCATATCATGTGGCCCAAGCAACAACATTGGGGAAAAAGCAAGGGACAGGGCAACACAGAAAAACTTATGGTCACTGCACCTCAAAAGCTAATTCCTAAGATGCCCCAGAAAGTCAAATGGAATATGTGGCAACCCTAGGCTTGTATATCCACAGGTGCCAAGCTGAAGTCAATGCTCTGTCCTCTCTAGATGGAGGTAACAGGTGGCCCAGCTATCCCTGGGGCCCACTACCCCCTACCTGATCTGCCTTCACATGGAGGTGATCTGCCTGAGACCTGCACACACTGAAACTTGCTATCACCTCGCTAAGAAAGTTGGCTCAAGAAGATATATTTCAATTAGGTAAAACTCATAAACTGACTGGGGAGGGCAACGCCTATGGCTCAAGGAATAGGGTGCTGGCCCCATATACCAGAGGTGGTGGGTTCAAACCCAGCCCCGGCCCAAAACTGTAAAAACAAAAAAAACTGACTGGGGGAGTAAGGGAAAAGAATCACATAAACCAAAATGTCTGCCAGTGATTCTCCAGTAACTCCAGATCAGGGCAAGGACTTTAAGCCACTTCTCTCACTTTCCAAAGAATGGAGTCCCCTTGGCCTCTTTTTTTTTTTTTTT